TCCCAGGTAGCGCTCTCATTTTCCTTTCCTACTACTAGTTACACAGGTAAATCTCCGCACTGGTGACTTGGCAGAGGGCTTGGGGGTTCCTGGATGCGGGCGGGGATGTGCTGGGCACCCTGCGCTGCCTCGGGTCAGAGCAAGGGAGCGGTGAGAGCAGAGCGCAGCCTGGGGACTTGCTGGGACCCACGGAGCCAGGAGCACGGGCAGGATGCTCCAGCTGCTCCCACTCCACCAGGTCACTGCCCGGGCCGTTCCCTGCCCTCCGGGCAGTAGCAGCCGCAGGTCCCCATCCCACCCAGCGCTCACAGCAGCCTCCGGAGCCACGCAAAGGGCACGAGCGGTGGAAACTGGTTGTGCCACCAGCCATGGGGCTTCTTTAGGGCGGGAAGACAAATCCAGGGACTTGTGCAGTAACTTCTGCTGCTCCAGCAGCGCTCACGAGCCCCGCGCTGCATTTTCAGTTTCACCTCCCTCAGGAAACCTTTGCAGAGGAAACTTTTGAGATGCTGTCTGCTCTCTGTGGGCTTCCGTGAATCTCTCTTCTCTCTGTCTCTGGGCGCTCTGAGCTCTCTCCTACCTGCAGAGTTCCCGGTCTAGCAGGGACCTTCCCTTGGGAGCATCCGGAGGGTGGGCAGCATCCTGCTTCCCCAGACCCTCTGCTCACCCCCCAGGGGTGACAGCCCCGTGCCAGCACTCCCACAGAGCCAGCCCATGCATCTCTACTAGGAGAAAAGACCTGTGCAAGTCAGTAGATTGTTCCTGCCTTTCCCCACACGTGGGAATGGGACCAGGCTGCGAGTTGGTCACAGAGCACAGGGCACAGACAACATAGGGCAAAACTTCCAGAGAAAACTGCAGCGACGTGGGAGCCTGGTGTCCCCCGCAGCCCCAGGGGTGCACAGAGTGGGCAAGAGAGGGAGAGAAGGTGGCAGAGTCCAGCAGCCAAGGTGCAGGGAAAGCGATGCACAGAGATGCCAGGGGATGCTGAGTGGGACAGGCAGCAGGGGAGGAATGTTCCTTCTCAAAGGCTGCTCGCACATGAGCCAGAAATGGTCCCAGAGCCCCAGCAAACCCTCCACAGACAGCAGGACAAGCCGATTTCTGTGCCGCTTGTTCCTTCTCACATAGTTCGCAAGTCTAGGTCCTGGCAAATTTGGTCTTTCCCAGTTGTGAAACAGGTTCGCGGCTCCAGCAGAGGGGTGAAACAGCCCCTTTGCAAAGGTCCCCACATCCCTCCCCACTCCTGCTTTCCGACCTCCGGCATCCTCCTGCAGACCGGAGCAATCCCCACCCTCCTGACAGCCGCACAGCCCAGCCCCAAGCACCACACAGGACACCCAGATGCTTAATCCATGGAAGCACTTGAGCACAATCTTAGAAAAAGCTACCGACACTTCGCTGCAAGTGCTGCGAGGCCAGGGAACTTGCTTTGTTCCTACTTGACTTTTGCCAGCTCTTTGCTCAAAGGCACATTAAAGCAAGAGATAGAGAGGGTCTGCCTGGGTGCAGAGCCACCGCATCCCCAGAATGACTAAAACACTTAATGCAGGGCTTGTCCTGCATCCACTGACACTGCCCATGGCCTTGCAGGTGGTGGAAAACCCTTCCCAAAGACGGGCTGCCACGTTAAGCCTCCCCAAGAGCTCCTTCCTGCACTTGCATCCTTCAGGGCTGCAGATGTACCTAGACTCTCCACTAATTTTAAATAACCCTTTTGTGCCAGAAGTGGAAGCGCGTAAGTAGAGAGCAGTAAATGCATTTACCTCTGCTAGAAACGGACCCTACCTCCCATGAGCCCTGCTGCAGCAGGGCACAAAGTGCTGGAACAAACAGTGCTCCGGGAAAGGATGCTGCAAGGCAGACAGGGAAGTAGGAACAAAACAGGATAAAATGCAATAGAAATTTACCACATACGACTCACAGGCCCCCTCCCTAGCGGAGATAATTGATATTTTAAACGGAAACACAGTGGATCAAAGTACGTGGCCTTCAGAGCAGAAAATATCCACTCAGGCAGGAATTACTATAAGAATTGTAAGGAGTTTAAAGAACCACCTAATGGGGAGATGACATTACGTTACAATGGAAGGATCATTATCGCGCTGGAGAAGGCTATTAACGGAGTTTCTCAAAGATCGGTCTTGAGATGAATTTTATTTAATGGCTTTCATTAGTGATATCCAGGCTCAAAAAAAAAAAAAAAAAAAAAAAGAATCCTGTATGAAAATATATTGATAAGAAGCTTGGGAGAAGTTTTAAACTGAATGAGGCACTAAAAACACTACAGTGAAGAACCGGAGAGTCTGAAAATTGATAGAAACAAAATGGGTGGCAGAAGCCAAAATGGTTTGGCTTTTAGGGATTAACAGCAAAAATTGCCACCTGATGCTGGGACTCAGCAGTTGAAAAGAGCACAGGACAAATATCTGGCTTTTAGGCAACCTCAGGATAGCTGTAAGGAAAGAAATGCAATCTTAGGATGTGTCAGACAAGTTTTTGTGGCAGAGAGCATCCGTCAGAGTGCTAGTGCCCCTGCAAAAGGCGCTGGAAGGACTTCCTTGAAGTGCTGCCCTGTTCTGCACCCACACTAGGGGTGGTTTTGACCAGGAATAGGGCCAGGCAGCAGGGCCAGGCAGAGGAATGCAAAAGCTCAGGAAACAGGACCGCAAGGACATGATTTTTTAGCCTTTTCCTAGAATGGCCATCAAGGGAAACAGCTGCTCGATGCATAGGTCAGGGAGGAAAGGAGCCCGTTCTGCTGAAACGCAGCGGGAGCCGAAGCCACGCGGCGAGACCCGCGGCCGCAGGTCAGGCGGGCGGACACCAAGGGGCAGACGTGCGGCCAGCAGCGCCGCGATGCTCTGCGAGGGCAGGCGGGCACCTCGAGCCCGGTGCGGTTCCCAGGGGACTGCACCGTGCCGGGTCCCCTGCCAGCCCTGCTATCCCTGCGGGCCTCTGACCTCCTCTCCCGCGAGGCCGTGCCCAGGCACGGAGGCTGAGGTCGTTCGGGGGGAGGTTTCCATGCAGGTAATGGGCCAGGGGACATGGGACGATCCGTCCACCTCGTGGCACAAAGAAGGTCTCGCTTTTGGAAGAAGACTTGGTTTTTGGCCAGACTGGAGCATGCGACTGCGGCACAGCTGCCCGTGGCCACCTGGTCCTGCTCCATCCTGGGCCAGAGCAAACTCCCCAGGGTTTAAAGGAAAGAGGAAGCGTCAGGAAAGAAAAAAGAAAGCGCCCATTTCTTGCATTAAGAGAAAATCAGTAAGAGGCAAATGCACCTCTAACTGGGACTGCAGTGCCAGCCCTGGAGCTGCCAGAGCGGGGGGCAAATGGCACAGCCTGCACAGGGAGATGTGAACACAAGTCCCTGCTAGGGGCTGGAAGCCAAAGCCCCACACTGGCGAGGAAGGAGGAGGCCACGCTGTGCTGGGCTCATCCACGGAGCACAGGCAGCGTAACAGGGATCCTCCACGGTGTCAGAGCTTCAGGAAAGCAGCAGATCCCCACAATCTGTGGCTGATGCTGCGGACACCAATGCATCCGGATCACAGCAGCGCTGCAAGTGGGTGCCCAGGAGAGCCCACCTGCGCTGCAAGAGCCAGTGGTGGGAGCAGTTTGCTGATGATGCAGAGGCTGCAATCCACCCACAGCATTTTCCTAGTGTGCTATTCCCCCCTCTATAATTTACCTTGCCTTTTGCAGCACGTTGGGAGCAATGAAAAAAACATCCCTTTCACTTGGAAATATCCCTCTGTAGGAACAACCTGTTCTGCCAGTGGGCAGGCAGTGCTCAGCTTGCTCCGTGCTCCTTTTGTAGGCAAACAAAGAGCTTCCCGTGGCAAGAGCCTGTGCTGCAGCAGGAGGTGAGGAGCTGCTCTGCACGTGCCTGCTGCGGCCCAGGGTAGCGCATCCATCCCCCAGTGAGCTGAATCCCGGTATCCAGACAACCCCCGTGCAACAACAGGTTTGCGCTTCTCGCCAGACCCCCTCCCATGTGCTGGATCATCCCTTCTCATTCATCAGCTACTCCCTGGGAAAGGGCAGGGCTGCAGGTATCCCCTCTAATCCATCAGGTCTCAGCAACCAGCAGTTGTTTGCTGAGGAGTCTCGGGGACGCTGCCTTGCTTGGCCCACACACCTTCAACTGGGAGCATAAGTCACCTCAAGCACGTTCCAGACACATCTATGTCACCAGCAAAGCAGTGATTTCCTTTCTGGGTTGACTGAGGCAGCACTAGGCACAGGCTACCAAAGGACCGGCCAAAATACAGCTAATAAGGCAAAATTTAACAAGCAAGTACTTACTTTTAAAAGGGCACTTGAGCTTTAGAAATTCCCAGGAAAGAGTCTTTTCTTGCATCCTTTCCAAGGGCCCTTTTCACCATAAGCCTGTAGGAACTCGATGCCTTTAGACCTCCTTGCTGTAAGTTATATAGTCACCCTCAGAGGATGGAGGAGGGAGACTGGGAGGGACTGGTGTTCCCAGCTCCCGAAGGACTTTCCATCTTGGGTCTAAATGGGCTGGAGCACCAGGCGAGCAGCAAACACATCCACAGCCAGGAGGGATCCAAGAGGGGCTGCTCAAAGGACCTTTGCCCACTGCAGCTCTGACTTGACCTCATTTTTCCAGGTTCTCCTTGGGAGGTGGCAAATCTCTGTCCCAGTTGCAGCACTGCCAGTGGGAAGACACACAGCCCAGTCTTCTTCTTGCTTTCTCTGATGTAAACACACAGAAAAAGCAACAGAGGGACAAGACCACACAAGACCTGACCTTGTTGTTTTCTCAGAGGAAAGGAAAAGGCAAGAGAGGAAAAGGGAACAGCTGAGACCCATCAGCAGCTGCAGAGGATCAGCTCAGCACTGAGCTCCCAGGTGGGGCCAATATGCACACGTGATTTGCAGGCCTATGTCTTTCCCTAGGCTATGTGATTCCTAAAATACAAGGTTGAGCATGTGAAGTGGCCCTATAATGTTCTGCATGGTCATTGTAGGCACATGGTAGGTTTGAAAAGTGCTCCAACGTTGCCCAGGAGGAGCTTATTCCAAGTAGCCAAGGAGAACAGGAACATCTCCACCCATGCCCCTGCACTATGGATCCATGCTACAACCTCACAAACGTTCCAGAACCCATGGACTTCCACCTGCAGGTGCTGGTGGGCTCCTTCCTCGCCATCCTCATTGTGTTCACCCTCTGCGGTAACGTCGTTGTCTGCCTGGCTGTCACCTTTGACCGCCGGCTCCGCAGCCTGACAAACTGTATCATCGTCTCCTTGGCCATCACGGACCTGCTGCTGAGCCTCCTGGTGCTGCCCTTCTCTGCCTTCTACGAGCTCACCCACAAGTGGCCCTTCGGCAGCATTCTGTGCAACATCTACATCAGTCTGGATGTCATGCTGTGCACAGCCTCCATCCTCAACCTCTTCATGATCAGCCTGGACCGCTACTTTGCGGTCACCACCCCTCTGCGCTACAGCCAGCTGGTCACTCCCTCGCGGGTGACCGTGGGCTTGGTCATTATTTGGGCGGTTTCACTCATGGTCTCCTTCCTACCAATCCACCTGGGCTGGAACACTAATGGGACAGCAGTGCAAAACACGGCCTCCAACTGCAGCGAGGAGTGCAAGCTGGAGGTGAACCCGGTGTACGGGCTTGTGGACGCCTTGCTCACCTTCTACGTCCCGTTGGTCATCATGTGCATCACCTACTACCGAATATTCAAGATAGCAAGGGAGCAGGCCAAGAGGATAAACCACACGTGGTCTTGCGGCAACAACACCCCCATGCCGCCCATCGTGAAAGAGCACAAAGCCACAGTGACCCTGGCAGTTGTTTTGGGGGCCTTCGTTGTGTGCTGGTTCCCCTATTTCACAGTATTCACTTACCGGGGCATGTGGGGGGACAGCAGCGTGAAGGGAGCGCCCATGTCCATCGTCCTCTGGCTGGGCTATGCCAACTCAGCCCTCAACCCCATCCTCTACGGCACCCTCAACAGGGATTTCCGCGTGGCCTACAAGCACCTGCTGCACTGCTGGAAGCCGGGGGGGCCCCGGGGCTGCCTGCCCGCCCTCCGCAAGGCCCAGCCCAGGAGCAAACAGCAGGGCCAGGGTGGGCACGAGGGAAAACCCCTGCGCCTGGAGATGAGGAACGGGACGGGGACCTTGCTGGCTGACGGAGCACTCGAGAGGTAAGAGCTTTCTCACGGGCAGGGGTTTGGGCGCAAGTGCATCCCCAGAGAGAGAGGTAAAGGTGGGAAGCCAGCATTGCTTGGACCTTCCTTTTGTATCTGGACTTCCTTTATATCTGGGCTTTCCTTTATGCCCAGACTTTTCTGTCTTTACTGTTAAGCAATGAGCTCTCCCCTTGGCCACACAGCTCTTGCTCCTACAATCACCCAGCAATTTGTCACCCCCCATGCACCCTTCTGTGCAGGGAGCACTGTCTGGGCTCCCCAACTGACCCAGGCCATCAGCATCGTCTCAAGGAAGGACCAAATGTCCCCTGTGTGGTGGGGACAGCTTTGCCTTCTGATCCTGCTACACAAAGTGCAGGTGCAGCCACCAGTCACTGCTGCTCTTCAACGCTGGCCGTGTCCTGCTCCCTGACGGTGGTGGCCAGCAAAGCCTGGGCATGCATCAGAGCTGTGGGGGCTCGGGAGAGGTCACCCCCCAGCACAGCAGGGGAAACATCACATTATCTCCGGTGTGCAGAGGGTTAACGTGGCTGTGGGCACCCTGAGCAGTGCGGGGGTTCCTGTCACAGCTCAGACACACGCTCTTATTGCGGAGCTTCTGTGTTTCAGCTGTTGCTCTGTGTCAGGCTGGCCACCAGCAAGTTCCGCTCCTGTCTCTGGAAAGGAGCAAGAACAACCAAACTTAGGCTGGTGAATGTTTTTAGAAATACGTATAGCTATACAGGTTAGAGCCAAAAGTTCCTTCAGCATCACCCCAGGAACACCACGGGGCTGGGACCCTCCTGCAGCCCTCGGGCCGGGGTACCCAGGCAGAGGTACCCACATCCCACAGAGCATGGCCAGTGCTGCCGGCGCCTGGCCCGAAGGCCCCCTCCTCCTTTGGGAGTGCGGACACGGCTGCTCGGTGCTCTGCTGCAAACTACGCTGCTCCTGAGCCTCTAATCTAACCTTTCTCAATGCCTGATAAACAGCGCAGAAACTTTCCATCGTGTAGATAAGGTGTCCTTCTGCTCTGAGTGTGCCAACAGAAACACCAGGCTCTCCTGCAGCACACGCCCTTGCTTCCCCCCGCTCCGCCAAGCCTCAAACCATGGCAAGGAGAGAGCAGAGGGGCAGGCTGGAGAGCAGGGACACCCCAACGGCTCCGCGTGCACCCTGGGTGCTTCCCCCGGGTGCTCCCTTGGGACTTCATCCCAAGGGAGAGGCAGCCTAGGTACAGGCACACCCTGCCCCGGGATACAAGTGCAGAGATGGGTGAATGCAAACAGCTCTCAAGATTGCAAGATCCAGGGACTTCCTTTACAGTTTCCAGGAAAATAATAAAGCGTGCGAAAACACAACACTTGGCAAACAGAGTTGCAGGTGTATAAAAATACCTAGAGACAGCACATGTCTGGCATGACACAGATACTTCTGCAAACAGACTGAGTCAGGGAAAGAGCTGTGGAGCTGTGCTGGTTCCTCACGCTAAAGCACGGCTTCCTGATGAGGCCTCTGCTTGGGAGAGCACATGCATGAGACCTTACACACAGCTGGGAGGGCTGGGACAGGCTCTCAGGGCTTCCCTCTGGCAACCGAAAGAGAGGAAAGAAGAAGCAAACAGTCGATACCTTTGGAAAGTGCCAGTTAATGAGCACAGAAGGAGAAAAAGGGGAAGAAAAGGGGATTTCTGTTCCCCAGGCCAAGGGCAGAGGAGCAGCAGGTGGGATGGGGCTCGATGGGACCTTGCTGAAGCAGTGCTGGAGGTGATGGAGTGAAGCAGCCTGCAAGAGGAGCAACCGTCCTCTGGTCTGCGCCTCCGTCACAGGCTGCCGGCCCCATCCCGCTGCTTCGCCAGCCGTCCAAAGGAAACATGGAGTCGAGCAACCTGCAGACCAATTGTGCAGGGAAGCAACACTGGTGGAAGGAGACCCGCTCTGCCCTGGCTTTGTTTCCTGGCAGGCTGTATCTCGCAGCAGCAGCCGGTCCCTGGAGCAGCGCTGTGGCCCTGGCAGACAGGTCCCACCTGGAAGTCCTGGTCAGGGCAGAGGACGGATCCTGCTGCACCAGAACTAGCACAGGGCCAGGAGAGCTGCAGGGCTGAGCCACGGCACTCGCCTTGAGCCGAGGGGCAGGTTTAGCCCCTTCCCATCCCTCAGGCACATGTGGATAAGAGCGATGGGAAACTCGGAGGAATGCTTCCAGGGAGAGAAATAACTCAGCTTCCCTCTGGGCTTGCTCCTAGGGAGCACAGTATGGAGCGAGGGGACGGGCATCACCAGCTCTGTGCCCGTACCCACACACGTGGTGGGGGAGACGTGAGCACAGGGGCTTTTCTTGACCTTTATAAATCCAGCACCCGCTTCCCCATCCCACACAGCATCGCCGCTGCGGTTTGTGCTTGCGATCAGATAAGAGTCTGACTCTGCTCAGAGTGATCTGCTCTGGCTCCTGCTTTCTCGTTTCACACCTTCGCCTGCCGGCCCGTGTGGAAATGCCAGGCAACCCCTGCCCCATGGAGAGCAGCAGCTGTTTGCACATCTGGCGGCCGCAGGACTTGCCACTGCAGGGAGCCACAGGACTGTGCAGAGCGCGCGGCTCTGCTTTACATTGTGGGACCATTCACAGGGGTCCAAATAGGATTAAAAAAATAATAATAATGGAAAAGGAGCACTCAGCACCAGCTGGGTATCTAGCAGGTAGAAACCACACGGTCACAGCAGCCACGCAGCTCCACATCACCATCCTGCAGGTGACAGACTCTGCTCAGAGACACTTGGGACACGTGGCCATGCTGTATGGGCAGAGAGGGGCCATTCCTACCGGGAATGGCTGCATTCCCACCCCCAAAACACCAGTCCTCAAATGCCCTCCTCTGCCGCCGGCCTCAGCAGGACTGAGCGGGACAGATGTCAGGGCAGGGAGCACACGGGAGAGCGGCCAGGTGAAAATGGGAGCCTGGCGGGCTCATCTCTCCTGGCACCAGCCCATTGATGTGTTTTTTCTCTCTCTTTTATTCTTTTATGGTGCCTTCATACACATCTTTCCCCTGTCCAGCGCTGGCACTTTCCCATGAGCCGAGGCCAGCCCGCTGCCCAAGGACACACGCCACCCAGCCTGTGGCTCCTGGCTGCCCTCCTCCAAAATCCTGCAAGGACAGAGCCAGGTTTCCTGCAGGGGCCGCAGGGTGAGTACGAAGCCAGGTACCAGCCCAGGAGGGGGCTGCTGTCCCTGCACGGGGGCACCTGAGGCAGCCCCGTCCCGCTGCAGGGACGATGCCACCAGGTTGATGCCCTCCCGGCCCAGCTCAGCCCGTGGGCAGCGGCCCCGCCGGCTCTGCTGCTCGGGCTGCTGCTGCCGGGCGCAGTGCGGAGGCGGCCGCGCTCGCACGCGCTGCCAGCGCCTCATTCTCATGCGAGTGGCACCGGCGCCGCAGGAATCACCAGCAGCTCTCGCGGCTCCCGGGGCAGGGGGCTGGTGCTGCATCCAGCCTCACCGCGCTCCTCTGGACAAGGCAGCTGGAGGGTGCAGTGGCTTCCCGTGGCACCCAAGGACACGTACGAGCTCCCCAGGGAGCCACTTGCTGCAGCGCTTTGCCGGGAGAGCCTGGCAAGGTCGCCCCGACCTCCACGCGCTCTCCCTCCAACACGGCTGCCGATAACGTGGGCTCTGCCGTATTGACCGTGCCCTGCAAAGAAAGGAGGTCACTGCACGAAGCCGCTCGTCCCCTCGTCGCTGCTCCCCACAGCCAAGGTCACATAGGGGAGCCACCCAGGAGGGACAACCCTGGCACTGCCAGGCACCAGCGGCTGCTGTGAAGGGGAGCGGGGGGAAGGAGGAGGCCTTCCCCAGGTGATGAAGCTGAGGGCCACAGCCTTCATCCATCCGTCTGTGCTAGCACAAGCGCCCACAGCCCCTGCCCCATGGGAGGGAGAGATGCAAAACCTGGAGGGGGCAGACAGTGCTCAGCCCCTTGCAGCACAGCCATCTGTGACCCCATCATTAACCAAAAGCAGGGACCGGAGAAGCCGTTTCCAGCCCCACGCTTCGCCCTTTCCCTCGCTGTGATGCAGAGATTTTGCAAAACGCATCTAGTTTCTATGAAGCAGAGGCAGAACACCAGGTCCCCCCTCGACACCCCCGCTCCCCGCACGAGAGATCACCGATGCAATCAGCGGGGGAAGCGAGGGCGGCTGAGGGGAGAGGTTTGCAGATGTGAGGTCCTGCCGCCACCGCAGGTTTCCTCTGCGCCCCGTGGGGGCGGGAGCGGAAGCGCCGTCCCGTGCGGAGGGCGCGTGGGGCAGAGCCGGCCGGGGGGCTGTGGGCGCCCCAGCCCCTTCCTGCACCCCGCGAGCAGGGCACCCCACCAGCCGGCCCCATCGGGCTGCTCCGGGACGGGACAGGTCACCCACGAGCACCACAGTCCATCTCCTGCGCCAGGGGGTCCCCATGCAGCACCCCCCATACCAAGGAGGGGGAAAAGGGGCAAAACGGAGCCCTCCACCCCTTGCCAGTCCCTTGAGCTGCCTCTCTTCTCCTGCAGGATGCCCAGCCTGGCACACAGTGTTCACTCCATCCCGGAGCACCTGGAGAAGCCTCTGCCTGCTCAAGCTTCCTCCCTGCAGGCTTGTGTGTCAGAAGAGCCCTCAGCAGAGCTGCGGAAGAGCTTCCCCCGTTGCCCACGGGGCTGTGACACCTGCAGCATCATCGAGCCCACACCGGCCCATGGCCCCAGGCAGTGCCCAAGGAGCCGGGTTCCAGCACCAGCATTTGTCTCCTAACACTACTGAGCAGGGGGTGGGGAGAATCCATGGGTTGGATTGGGAGGGAAAAGGCTTGGGGCACAGGCAGACCAGGGAGAAGAGCCCTTTGCCCATCATTGCCCTGCATGGTAGGGCAGGTGTCCTGGCACACAGGCAGCCCCACAAGCAGCAACTCCAGAACAGCCCCACGGATCATGCTGGGAAGTCTCTCCTCTCCAAACCTGCTCCATACCCTCTGTGAAGAGATGGGCACCTCACGGAGGCCCCGGGGTTGGGACCCTGCACCCTGCAAGAACGAGGTGCTGGTGCGCTGAGCCTGGATAGGAGCAGTAAATGCTATTGGGAGGGGAAAAAAAGAAACAAACAAACAAAAAAAAAAACCCCATGCTGCTTAACCTAGAAGGAAAACAAAACAAAACAAAGCGACTCATTTCTCTGGACACGCTCTCCTTCCTCTGCCAGGTCCAGGGCTGTTTGGGACCCCTTGCTTTGCAGTAGCGCCTGCCCGCTGGGACCCCAGAGCCAGCGGGGAGGAGGCGGCTGCAGGAGGGCAGGAGCAGCAAGGAGAGGGGAGAGGACAAAGCAGCCCAGCTCCCCGCCGCAGGACAAGGGTTTTCCTGGAACAGCCCCGCAGCCCCGAACACCCGCAGCCCGGTACCGCTTCCCCAGCCCCGGTACCGCTTGCGAGCCGCGGGCCCGGGGGCCGGGCGGCGCGGGCAGGGCCGGCGGCGGCAGCGCGGGCTCGGAGCTCCCCCTGCTTGCGGCCGCAGCCCCCGCGCGCCCCCAACGCCCGCAGCCCCCGCGCGCGCACCCCGCCGCGGGAAGGAGCCGGGAAGGGAGCGCCCAGAGCCCTGCCACCTCTGATAACAATTAGAGACTTAGCTAATTGCAAAAATAATTGCAATTGAAGCGTTTAATTACCATACTAAGCAGGAAGAGCCGCTCCCAACTGTTCCAGTGGCGCTGCCGATCCATCAAACAAGGTTTGGGGCTTGTTTGGGTGGATTGGTAGTTTGTTTTTTTGTTTTGGGGTTTTTTTTTTTCTTTTTTTTTGTGATTATTAGATTGCAGCTCTGGGGGGGATGAAGAGATTTGCTAATTAGGGTCTTAGAGAACAGCTACCAAACAGCTACCAATTCACACTTCGCCAACACTTGCTTTTAATCTCAATACTAACGAGGCTGGAAGGGGGAGAAAGCCGAAATGCAGAACATCTGTGCCAGTAGCTGTCTGCATTGCTGACCCTGTCATGTGCAGAGACCTGGCACCGCTCAGTGCACGCATGAGGCTGCAGCTGGGTTGCATGGTGCTGCGGCTGCGTTGGAAGGCACAAGGCTGCCGTGCGTGTCGCGGCTGCCGCCGTAGCCCCAGCACAGGCTAATCCCAGCCTCGCTCCGTTCATCCCGTTCCCACAGGAGCACCTCGATGCTCCCAAACAGCAGCTGCTTTTTCCAGATAGGAACTATCTGTCTGCTAGGGCTGGGGGACCAGCCGGGAGCAACATCCCCCCGGTGCCCGCGTGAGGCAGGGCATAGGGGCAGGGATAGTCTCAGGATGCAGGAGCTCCGCAGGGTCTGCAGCGTCTCCTCCCTGAACGGCACAGGAGAGGAGTGTTTGCTGCTGCGGGCCGGAGGCAGAGGAGCTTTCCTTTCTCTTAGATGAAACACAAACATCGGTGGAATAAAAGCAAATCTGCTAGGTTGATTTATTTCTTTCTCCTCAGGTTATGGTGTGATGAAGCGCAGAGGAGACGTAGTGGTAGGGAACAGCCCTAAGCCACCAAAAGATCAGAAAATTTGCCTAAGAAATCCCAAGATTTGTTTCTTTCTCGAATAAACTGCACTTTGATGGAAGTCACCACATAGCTACAAGCCAGGGATCCCAGCCTGGGCTTTGGCTCCCCGTGCCAGCCCCAGGAATTGCATTTCCCGTCCAAAACGCCTTGCGGGGCCCCTCGCGCCGGCGGGCCAGGGTGCCGCAGGAGCAGCCTGTGCCCCGCGTGGCACCGGAGCGGGGACGGAGCCACTAGAGGGCACAAGCAGGACAGAAACGTGGCCCCAACACCGGGGTGCCTTGCCAGGGTTACCCCCCATTCAGTCCCAAAGCATCTCTGCAAACACCCTCCCGTGGCCGCGTCCCCACTGGTGGCTCTGGGGCGCCCCGGGCACCCGTGTGCCATGGATGGTGCTGCTGGCACTGGATGGATCCGTGTGCTGATGCTACAGGGAAAACACCCAGGACTGAGGGGCCAGCAGCAAAAGGCAGAGCACTCAGGGACACAGGGACACTGTCCTGGCCCCAGGAGAGGCCATTTCTAGACCTAAGGGCCCAGGGCTCACGAGCCTGTGTCCAGAGCGCTTTATTAAAGCTGTTTTCCAGACACACGTTGCCTTCATGCCCTGGCACCTCCCACAGAGCTCACGGGCTGGAGGGACATGGGGTCCCTCGGTGCTGGGTGGCAGCAGTCCCGGGGAGCAGAGGGGATTTCGCCAGCCCTGGGGTGTCTGGGACACAGGGAAAGCTGCTCCGGGCATGGCACGTGCAGGCTGGGCTGGGCTGGTGTCATAGAGGGGCACAAGGGACAGAGCAGCACCTCAATGGGCCTCCCAAAGGGCCAGCACCTCCGCTCTGCAGCAGCTCTGATCATCCCGCCAGGCAGGCAGAGCCAAGGTGCTGCCAGGAGCCGTGTGCCCATGGCCAAAGGCTATGCACAACATTGTCAGCTCCTTTTCCCTGCCCTGCTCCCGCAGCGGGCGCTCCAGGCAGCCGCTCTCCTCCCCGTGCCTGCAGCAGGCGCCGCTTTCATTAAGGCTCTAGCACCAAACCAAACACCATTTGTCAATGAGACGGGTGCCAGAGGCAGCTCTGCTGGAACAGATGCCCCGCTTCCCGTATCCCCCCCAGCAAACACAGTACAACAGCCGCCCCCGCGGCCCGGTGTCACACACACACACACATGCACGTGCACAGGCTGCCATCCCCCCTGCCAGTGCAGGACGTGGCGCCCCGGCCCCTGTGCAGCACAAGCTGCTCCCCAGCCCGGCTGCTGCAACCTCTCCTTTGCACCCATGCATGATCCAGGACAGCATCAGCCTCAGACAGCCCCTTGCACCCTGCACTCGTCCGCCCTGCTTTTACCAGTTCCCCTCTGCACCCACAGCCCGCGCACTGTTGCAGGATACATCCCTGTTCCAGCCACACAGGTGTCCAAGCAGCTCCCAGCACCCGGGATTGAAGCACCCCGGATCAAAGCAGCCTCGATTCCCTCCCTGGGCGCTCCTGCCTTGCTGGCAGTGCTGCCCGTCACCTCCCGGCCCTGTTTGCACAGCTGGCCCGGCCACACTCCTCGCCGGCCACCTGCGCAGGGACGCGGGGCTGATGGAGGGGCCATCGCCCCAGGGCTGAGACGGGAGGGGAAGGGAAGAGCCTGGATCTGGAGCCATCCCCGTGCTCCGCTCCCCTCGGCATGGAGCAAAGGAGGAGGGATGCACACGCTGTGAGCCCAGCTGGCCTTGCTCCCCACCGGCCGGAGGGTTCCCCGCAGAGCCTGCCGGGCGCTCCGCAGGGATCCGCACGCACCCGCTCGGCAGCCGGGTGCTGCCCATGCCTGGCGGGAGAAGCAGGGCCGGGATGGATGTGCCCCCCTCCGCCCCAGGACAACCGGCTGGGAGCTCTTCCCGCTGTGGCAGCAGGCAGCGAATCTCCCTGCGCTCAGGCTCCCTTCAGGCACCGGCACAAGGCTGCGCTGGATGCAAACACGGAGCGAAAAGCCCCCGCAGACAGCACTATTACGCAGGGCTCTCGATCCTTTTTGCTTAATGGGAGGTATTTTTCTGTTTCATTTCCCCTACCCTTGGAGCTGAAACCGCCTTTCTGCAGCAAAACAAGCCAAGCCAAAGAAATCCGTCTCCTTTTTCCAGCTCACAGCCTCCACGTCCTCCCCTGCCAAGAGAAATGCCCATGGCGCAGGGCTCCCTTCACCTGGGACACGGCGCGTTCCCGCAGGGACAACCAGCTCCCCCTGCTCTGCATCCCCGGGCTGCACTTGGGCCATTCGTCCTGCAAGTGACAGCTGCGCTAGCAGGAGCAGGGGACCCAGGGGGACACCGGACAGGGACACATCCAGGCACTCGCTGCAGCCCCGGTGGTTTCCGCTCCGTGGTCCCAACCATCCCGATGCGAACGGCCCCCGAGCCCCCCTGCCCCGAGGGCTCCCGGCCGCCTTGATTCGCTTGGCCGGTTTCAAGGTTGAGCTAAGTCCACCGTTCGTTACTGGGTAATTAAGCTATTAATTAATGGGCTGGTTTGCCCTTAGAGCCCTGCCAGCATCTCTTGGCCCCAGGCTCAGATGGAGCGTGCGGTCCGGTTTTTTTCCAAGGTGGGTCCGAGGCTTTTTTCCCATCCCTTGCTCTGCTCCGGGTGCCCGAGGAACCCTGTTTCCCAACCCCAAAGCTCATTTGCTGTAGGTCCGGAAAGGTCCCCAGGGCACAAGTGTGACAGACACGTGTCCTGGGCCAGCAAGGCACTTGGAAGCAATAAGCAAACTAGGACAAATCCTCCTGGCCATGGCGGATGCTTAAGCATCAATACCCCAAGCCTAGCAAATATCCCAACTTCTGAGCCTTAAAAAATACCATCCTTGAAGATACCCCCACCTGGAACCCAAATCTTGCGGCCACTCACCCCTCTGCCCCCTTTCACCCTGCCGCCTGTCTGCTCCGGAGCTCGGGCTGCCACCCGACGCCAAAAACGCGGCGAACTGCAGCAAAGCGGCCGTGACGAGCCCCCGTCCTCGGCGCCACTGCCAGAGCTGCCCTGCGGCGCTCCGAATTGCGTGGATTCATCACGCGTCACATCCCGTTAGCCGTGA